TCTTTTCATTTTGCTTGCATGGTATATTTGCTCCATTTAATGTTGATGGTATTAGTAATTTCATTTCAATAAACATCTTTCATATTGATAATTTTAACATATATCCTCCTTTTTTAAAAAAGTATACATATATAGCTATTACATTTTTATCCGCCCCCCACCCATCAAGCTTATTTTTTGGCCAAAGTGTGGAGCCTGGTTCAAGTTTCCAACTGTCCTTATAATAATATTGCATAGTTATACATCATTACACGCAATTTGGGCTCCATTGAGGTCATCCTTCGAGGCCTACCTGTAAACGCAGTGCTCCAAATTGCGGCCACGCGATCGGGGCGGGAGGCAGACGTCGGAATTCAGGACTGGGTGGAACGTTTGGGCGATCTGTTGTAACTTCAATTGGTTGCTATGTGACCGTCATAAGTCGAGGACTTTCTGTAAAGCATGATTTGCACCAAGCTAAGAAAGCTTCTTGTAAGACTCAAGAGGAAACAAGGGGAGAATAAGAGCCTGAATTTTGTCTGTAGCATTTTAACGGTAAGATTCAAGCTTTCCCAAGCTTGGCTCCTTTAAGACGTGTGGACTTCAACTCCCAGAATTCCTTAGCCAGCATGGGGAATTCTGGGAGTTGAGGTCCACGGGTCTTAAAGGGTCCGAAGTAGGAAAACCCTGCTGCAATTGGGGAAAAAAATCACAATGGCTGTGGGTGGAGCTTCAACTGCAACGTGATGCCCACCATGATGACTTTTTTGACCCAACTTGCACCACCCCCTGGAGGGGGGAGCTCTCTCACCAGTCTCTGGCTTTCTGTTCTAGGGCAGCAAATATGTCTGGAACCGAGATGAACTCTTGAAAGCCGCCAAGGACCCAAACGTTTGCCGTCTCATGGGTAAAGGGTTCAAAAATGCTCTTTTTCCCTCCCCCGTGTGCGTTTTTGTGCTTCTCTCGGTGTGTATTTGTGTGTCTGTGCTTTTTTCTCCCTGTAAATATAGTTTAAATCAGGGCTCTCCAACCGTGGCAACTTTAAGACTTGTGGACTTCAACTCCCAAAATTCCAGGCCAAAAACAGCCCCCAAAATGGCCTGAAACATCCTGAAAATGGCCCCCCAAAATGGGCAGGGGCGCGGCCAGCCAGTGGTGGGATTAGCCCTAACCGGCTGAATCCTACCTCTGCCTTTGAGGCAAGTGGTTGGGAGGTGGGGCTGGGTGTGATGAGTGACATCACCCACCTGGGTCATATGACCAACCGGCCACGCCTATCTATCCAGAGAGCTGGGCGTTAACATTTTTGAATCCCACCACTGGGTCCATCCCACGTTTCTCCCTTTTCTCCCAGGCCTCTTTGAACCTTCAGACATGAAATACGAGCTGAACCGAGACAACAGCACTGACCCGTCTCTGGCCGAGATGACTGAAGTGGCCATCAAACTCCTCAGTTCCAACCCAAAAGGCTTCTATCTCTTCGTTGAAGATAAGTCTTGAGTCCCTATCATGATGAGCAAGGCCTTCTTCTCGAGTTCTTCTTGGGTCCCCAAGCAATCGAAGGAGGAACCGATAGATGAGAAGGATTTTTTTGGGGGTGGACGAATAGCTTATCTTTTACACAAGATGGCTAACCAAGTCAGGGAATGCTCTAAGCCAGTGNTCCTCCTTCTCTTCTCTTCTTTTCCCTCCTCCCCTCCCCCTCATCCTCTTCTTCCTCCTCCCCTCCCATCACCTCCTCCTCTTCTATGCAAGCCCCTCTCCCTTCTAGCACCGATGATGCTACCTAGATGGGTAATGAAACGTCTGCAAGGAAACCACTAAGCTCAGAAGGCACCAGGGATTCTATAGTCCTTCTCCCTCCTCCTCCTCCTCCTCCTCCTCCTCCCCCTCTTTTCCCTCCTCCCCTCCCATTCCTCCTCCCTCCTCCTCCTTCTCCCCTTCTCTTCTTTTCCCTCCTCCCCTCCCCCTCCTCCTCTTTTTCCTCCTCCCCTCCCATCACCTCCTCTTGTATGCAAGCCCCTCTCCCTTCTAGCACTGATGATGCTACCTAGATGGGTAATGAAACGTCTGCAAGGAAACCACCAAGCTCAGAAGGCACCAGGGATTCTATAGTTATCATCCTCTTCCTCCTCCTCCCCCCTCCTCTCCTCCTCCTTGCCCTCCTCCTCCCTCCTCCTCCCCCTCCTTCTCCATGCAAACCCCTCTCCCTTCTAGCACCGATGATGCTACCTAGATGGGTAATGAAAGGTCTGCAAGAAAACCACCAAGCTCAGAGAGCACCCAGCAGCCCAGCCAATAATGTTTTCTGGGCACTGCCCTTTCCTTGGCAGGTGGTCCTGGGTGGGGGCAGGAAATACATGACTCCTCAAGGCACCCCCGACCCGGAATACCCCACCCAAGGCTCATCCAATGGGACCCGTAAGGATAATAGGAACCTCATCAAGGAATGGCTCCAAGCTAAGCTGGTAAGTGTCTCTTCTCCTATCTGGCGCTCTCCGTTTGCGGTGGAACTACGAATCTTGAACTTTCTCGAGCAGAATGGGAGTTGCAGGTCGTCCTCGACTTATAACCGTTCAGTTAGCGACCGTTCCAAGTTTCACCACTCCTGGGGGGGGGGGGGGAAAGGGACACGACTGTTTTGCATATTCCATGACTCTCGCAGCGTTTCCGTGGACACGCGATCACGATTCAGATGTTTGGCAACTGACTCGCATTTATGTCCCGTGTCCCGGGGGGTGTGTGTGTCACGCGATCCCCCTTTTGCCACCTTCCGACGAGCAAAGTCAACGGGGAAGCCTGATTCACTTAACAACCGGGTTACCAACTTATCCGCTGCAGGAGATTCACTTCACGACTGTGGCAGGAAAGGTCGTAAAATGGGGCGAAGGTCCCTCAACAAGAGGCTTGCTTAGTAGTGGAAAGGAGCTCAATTTTGGTCATAAGTCGAGAACTACCTGTGTATCACTCCTGTCTTCCCTCTACCATCCTTCTCTTCTCTACTTCCCCTTCCTCTCTCTTCCTCTCTCCTCTTTCCACTCCTTCTTTCTCTCCTCCTCTCCCCCCCCTCTCCTAACCCCTCTCTTCCTCCTCTTATCTCCCTTTCTCTCTTCCACTCTTTTCATTTTGCTTGCATGGTGTATTTGCTTCATTTAATGTTGATGGTATTAGTAATTTCATTTCAATAAACATCTTTCATATTGATAATTTTAACATATATCCTCCTTTTTTAAAAAAG